ATGTGGAACCAGTTAAACATGGTTCTGAGTGCTTCAGAAAATTTGGGGGGGAGATTTGAAACAGTTGTTTCCTTTTGCTTAGACATAACTAGACAGTGTATAAGTGAATTTGAACGTGTATATATTAATTTAACTGTTCTTTAGATAAGTTTGCTTGCACATTGAGTGTTAACCACTCCTGTTAATGGGGATTTCAGGAAGGAGCAAATACATATACATTGTATGAATTGCCACTTTTAATGGTGAGACTGTATTTGGGGGTGAAGTATATAATTTTAGGTTAAATAAGGATAGTGAAGGATGTGGCTAAGAGATTTTGAGGTTTATTCTGTTCATACTGAGAACATCATAGACGACTGTCTTTCCTAGATATTTAGAGATTAAAGCTAAAAGGTGATCTTCCATATACTCCTCTTAGAATTTGTTTCCAGTTGACATAAAGGTCCTTATAATATAGTAATCCCTGACTAGAAATCTGGAAGCCTATGTTCATTTAAGGTCCTCAGGTTTACTATACCTGGTGCTTTCTACAGCACATAACGTGCTTTTAATGTGGCAAACGTGGCTTAGGTCTGTTTCAGTGAGCTCCTATCCTATAGTAAAGGCAGACAGTCATTTATTAAAGTGGGTCAAGACAATCACACCTTTAGGCAGAGTAGCAACTACTCTGCTACCTTGTGTCTTTTAAGTACTTTCAGCAACAAGGTGACCTTTAGCTATACATTTTGTCAGCCCCTAGGGTGAGGATATTAGTTTAACCCATATTTTCATGTAGTTCTCTTTCTAGCCTAATCCTTTTTGATACTGCAGGTGCTTCTCATTACAGGACCTTAGAGAGACCGAGCAGGTTAGAAAGTAGAGACAAGAAACACTTATGCTTCAGGTTGTTTCCTAGTTTTAGTCACTGGGATTTTATTACAGTTTTTTAAAAAGAATTATTTATTACAGTTTTTTAAAAAGAATTATTTATATTAATTTTATTTATTCATTCGTTTATTTAATTTGACCAGAGAGGGACACATACACACACACAGAGGGAAGGTGACAAGCAAGCCACCAGGTCCAGGACTTGAACTGTGGTTAGCCGTATGTAACTGTCCAGAGCCTTAACCACCACACCATCTGCTGGCCCCTTATTAAAAACTTTTATATCCTCCTGATACTCTAGTAGTCTTCTGAACCCTGTCTTTCTTCTTAAGGATATTCTGAGAGCTTGTGAGGCCTGAAGACTGCAATAAGTTGTAAGAGGCTCCAAATTCAACAGATCTTTCTTTTTGAGAATCTGGATAAGCTCCAGCTAATCTAACTGGATGGACTGAAGGTTGCAATCTAACTGGACAAAAAGGTAGTGTGGGCATCTTATCATTGTGGGACTTTTGTCTTTGGCTTTAAGCACTTTACCTTCCTGCAGCTCTCCTTTTTAAAGCAGAACATAAGCCAGCATCTATTGCCTTCACCTACTTTTTTTAGTACATACATTTGAACTTTCTACAATGAGTTTGACCTGTTTCATTTATCCCTTAAAACTGGGTTCCAGGAGATGGATACCGAACTTGAGCTGTGAAATATTGCTTTCCTTGACTAAAAATGAAGATTTTCTGCAGAGACTTCTCCCTCCAGATTCATTTCTAGTGGGAAAGGCACAAACCCAAGCCCATCCTGAGATGGATTACTGAACTTGAGCTGTAAAATATTGCTTTCCTTGACTAAAAATGATGATTTTCTGCTGAGAATTTTCTGCTGAGATTTCTCTCTCAGATTCATTTCTAGTGGGTAGGGCTACCTCTGTCTTCTCTCCATTTCTCTCTGTCTCTGTCTCCCTGTGTCTTTTAATTAAAAAAAATTTTTTAAGGTAATGTATTCTCTGAGCTCTGAAGTCCCTCCTTTATTATGATAATTTGTGCCTTTCTCCATTCCATTTTGGAAAGGCACAATCCCAGGCCCATCCTGAGATGGATACTGAACTTGAGTTGTGAAGTATTGCTTTCATGTGGCATGCATGTGTGCCATGCAGTTTTCATTTTTTGGTTTTTAAAATTAAAATCTAAAGTTTTGTTATTATCTTTTTTCCTTCTTTTTTATCTTATCTTTTCTTCTTCTTTCCTCTTCTCTAATTCTTTTCCTTTTTATTTTATCTTTATTCTTTGGTTGCTCAGCCTTTATACACTAAGTGTCTAGACAGGTCCAAGTGAACAGTCTCCAAACATCTGAATATGATTAGAGTCAGAAAATTCCTCTATTCCCACTGAATCTGATGCACAGGGGTTGAAAATGGAACAGAAGTGAGATTGCAGATTACCTCCTCTTGCACGCCAGATTGGACTTCAAGAATTAGAAAGAAACACACCATCCAACAGATGACTAGAAATTACTGCAGGGTCACAAGAAATATGGGAAAGCAAGAACATATCTCTCCTCTAAGGGAAAAGAATAACTACTCTTCATCCTCAGACAGTACAATGAAACTCATGGAAATGTCTGATAAGAATTTAGACTATCCATAGTGACAAAGCTACAGAGATGGAAGAGAAGAGAGATAATGAACTCCAGAAGAGGCAGGAGAAAGGAGCTGATGAGTTCCAGGAGGTGAGGAAATTCTTGCAAGAGCTGAAAGAGGAATTACATACTTTAAAAAAGAATCAAATGGACCTGTTAGAGATGAAGACTATAATAAAGGAGTCAAAACCTCCTTGAAAGTATTAAAAGCAGACTACATTATATAGAAAATCAAATCTCAGATGTAGAAGATAGAATCGCTGGCCTAGAAAAATCCACCATAAAGACTAAGAAAATTAACCATAAAAATGAATCCTGGAGAAAAACATTTTAAATCTAGAGAGGCATTCAGAGAGCCAGTCCCAAGAAATACAAAGGACCCCAAATAGAATCAACTCAAGAAGATCTCTAAGAGACGTTATAGCCAGATTGACCAAAACCACAGACAAAGACAAGATAGTAAGATTGGCAAGAGAGAAACATCAAGTTAC